GGTTAAAAAATTACTGATCTCTGAAGATCCAAGCCGCAACTCTTTTATACTTGAGGGTTGACAATGAATAGCTTCGTTTATTGCTTGAACTGCAAATATGCACACACCCTTATGAGATAACGTCTGACTCTGATGATGAACAATGAGCATAATGTTGAGCAATTACAAGCGACATAGCAAAATGAAATCAAATTTCAAATTCGGCCTTCATCGATTTCGACGAAACTTTGCAAATGTTTATGTAATCAGAGAACAACTAGTCAGATCGATTTGTCAGTTGGCGTGAAATTGCTCATATGTAACGTTACATCTTCTATAGGTGTGTGTTTTAGATCCAAACAAAAACAGATTTATTTATGTTTTTCATCAATGCAATGGATGATCATGAACTCAGCTTTGAACATACATAAACAACATATATAAGAACAAGACTGAACCGGTGAGAGAAGATACGGCTGCCATACCATCGGATTTTGGAAGACAAAAATGTCTGCGTCTCCTGGAAAATTTCTACATTTTTTTAGTTAATCTTTTTTACCCAAGAATTCTTTTTAAATAAGAATTCGAAAAGCATGTTCTATAAGTGTATTATAAGTGATGCAGAAAACATCCCGAGCTTTGAAAGAGCTCTGTAAATGTTTTCTGGCTACTTCTCAGATTGTTTTCATCCTCCAGTATGATCGTATTTGGCTTTGATCTTTAAAAGTTATATAAATGTGCATCTTACTTTTATTATACCACAACAAAACATGAAAGGATGCTATATCGGTTTTCATAAAGGAGTTCAAATGATAATTCAGATGCCGCTTCCAGTACTTTTCATCTTTATGACGAACCAAACGCATTTTCTCTAGAATATGATTTTCCTGCCATTGACGAAGAACATCATAGATAGTAAGCCTAAGTTAGTCATCTTTCAAAATTAGTCTAGTCAGGAAGGTACAAACCTAACACGTCAAGAACCAGTGATCGAATCCCATGCTCATTTTTTATAATTTAGCATTTAAAATTTTTTGTTTATCTTGATCTTTTCCAAAACTTGTTTTAAGACCATAATCTACTTTTACAAGCTCCTCCTCTCGCTTGGTTGTGTGCCATTCGTGAGAACTTGATGGATAATAAAAAATGGTTTACCAATAAGCGGAGCTAGTCTTCTAGAGAAGTTCCAAGCCTAGTGCGATGAATACCTGATTTCAAATCCCATGCTCGGTTATGTCTTATTTTTGTTTTGGAGAATACTTTTTGGCTATTTAATTTTATTGGTTATTACGATGTTTTGCAAAACATGTTATATGACCATTGATTTGTTTTATTACGCTCCGAAACTTGCGCTTTTTCAGTTGTATAAAAGTATGAAATGAAGTATTTGCAAATCTAATTGAACACTCATATATATTTTAAGGCAGTATTTTAAACACCTTTATGACAAGTTGTGTTGCTTGGGTAGGTATAGCGGCACAATTTTGTACACTTCTGTAGGCAAATTTATTTTAAGAAACTTTGCTGAATAAACGGATAATCTATCTCTAATGACTTTCCATTTGCACAACTTAAGACAGTGGCGCATGAATCCTGCCATGTTTCAATCCAGCACTTGCTGGCAGATTTGTGTTACCGACCCACTTCCACTTAGGTTCTTGTGATTCGGTTGATTTCGGCCTCTGATGACATCAACGATGGAGCACAGCATTCGAGATCCAGGTGTGAAGCCACCAGGTACGAATTTTATACAGCAGGCATTGTTTGGAGCTGCAACTTTCGTGTGTTCTTCAATGATACACACCCCGTCTCACTGGCATATAGCAAGTTGCCACTACAAGCTATTGCAACTGGAGCCATGATGGATTTTATACTTCGGACAGCTGCTTCAATCTCCTGCAGTGATGGAGCCTCGAGTCATATGCACAACTTATAATCGAATTGCTGTTGAACGATCCAAACACGGAGGTACCTACTGGAGAAATTCGAAAAAGGGAAGCGGATAAATTTTCTACGGAGCTGAGCCTCAACATGCACACAGGTGAACAAAGTGTACATATTGTAGCCAGCCCGGGCGATCCGTCTCTAAAAACGTGTGGTTTTAGCGCCACTCCACAGGGGAGACCACACGCCCAATGTAAATTTGCCCAGTTGAGACTCTCCTAAGGGCGAGTCCATTAAATTTCCTAGAAAAGATTTACGGATCAGGCAAGCCGGCTTTCAACTAAACGTCCAAAACGGGAAAACCCTATTATCCCCATAAAACCACAAACACGATAGTCACTCAGAGAGTCGGTGAGAGCTCAACCATACCTAAAAACCTCTACAAAAGAGAATTTATCATCATCGGCATTCTCGTCACTTGCCACTAGACGTCGCCCCGATCTGGAAGTGGACTACTCTCCCGAATATTAAAACTCTCAACATAAGGACGGGACACGAAAACTACAACGGAGAACGCGAAGTGATGTCGAATACATTCAATCAATTAAAGCTAGGGAGATGGTCATTTTACGAAAACATTTATTATCACGGAACTTTTCAGGCGGTATATCTAGTGCATAACGGGTGTTCCAACATTACTTATCCTACGTATATTTATTTATGTGTTCCAATTGATTTCGGTTTACTTGTGTGTGTTCGCTCCTATCTCCTATGTGTGTGTGCGATTTCTCTCTCCCTAGCTAACGTGCTCATGTGCTCTACTTGTTCATGTGTGTGACGTCACTTTATCGGCAACTCAGCTCCAAACGAGTCTACGCTCCTGGTGACAACGACGTTGGCGTTGAAAAACGTTACGTTTCAAAGGCGGGAATGCCACATCACGAGTTCCGGAAAAGCGTGTCACGGAAACTCAGCGCTACTCGCCCATCAGTCTTAGACTGGCAAAAAAAAATCACTCCGTGGCGCCCTCGCGGGTGGACCGTGTCCACGTTGAGATCCCCTGAGTCTCCTTGGACCGATTATGTAACGGATCCGTCCGCTTCCGGCCGGTTGGCGATTGCCGGGAAATTCCGTCCGTTGGGGAGAAGTTGCTGCGTTTAGGCACGGTGAATTGCTGCGAACGATTTAACAACACGACTGTATTTCTCTAGCCTTTCTCTTGATCGCACACAATTTTCTACACGCACACTTATTCTACTAGTTTAACTAGGAAAAACGACCACGAACAAACACGCACACTTCAAGAACGTTGGGAAGTCACGGACGAAATGATCGAGACCGTGAATCCTCAGATAAAGGAAAATAAAACTCGGACGAACCGGAAGTCCATCATTTCCCGAAACCCTTCGTGGCCTATCGTGAATCTAAAGACACGAAAGATAACTTGAATCGTTTTATTGTGCGACTATCACTTTCCTACCTTATCCATAAATTAAATGGACCCGTCTTAGGAAAGATTTCAGCAAAAATGCTGGTGTCTTCCTACTGCCTACCCTAAGGAATTTAATTCAATCAATTTCACCTTATCAAATTATATACAAATTTATACAAATTTCCTGATCGTTACCATATGAACGAGAATACGCAGATTACTTTCTCGCTTCATTTCCTTAATCGGAAGGGAGCATATTTTAGGATGGGATTAATAACAAATGCTTCATATGTAAGATTGAGGGGCATCGAATGAATCCTTGCCCCAATCGGAAGGCCTTAAATCAATCAACACAGAATGAAAAAAAAGGGGACCAGGACGGAAAAAAGAAATCAGATGATGAGAAATTGAATGGATGCCTGAGGATGAAGTGGAACAGACGTGAGAATTGCGGAAACCGAGTTGGACAGGAAGGAAATGATGAATCGAAACAGGAGCCACCTCTTTTGATGAATTAGAATGGCACCACAGTTCAGTGCCTCTAGAACAAAAATTCAAAAATAGATTTTCTTGTTTGATCTTAATATTGTTTAAAATACGCTGCAAGGGTTTTTTTGTAAAACCTCGAGCTCACCAAAACAGTGCCATCTTAAAACATGGTTGGGTTAGTTTATGTAAATCGAAATCATATTTCAACTGCAATCTCTACTCTCATCATCTCATAGCATTTTAATGTTTATTAGTGCAACAAAATTGATTATATATATTTTTAAATAGAGACTTTCATTCAGATGCATGCGCATTCTGTAATAGTAGAAAAAAAGCTCTAAATTGATTGATGAGCGCTTTAGAAGAAGATTAATTTTTTAGCTTATTACATTGTTTTTCCTATTAATTCTACTACTATAGTATCACTTTCAATTTAACTCATTATTCAATTTCACTATCACTTTTAAAAAACTATAAAAGAAATGTATTTCGTTTACTACTAGCAAACTTCTTCAGTGCATATGACAAGACACTGAAGAAGTTTGCAAATAGTTAACGAAATACGTTTCTGTTATAGTTTTTTTTTTTTAAAGTGATTGTAAAGAAAACTGGGAACACGGTTTGGGCCAAATACCGGTCTAGTGTAAAAAATATATAGCTGGTATTGAAACGGATCGAGGAATAGTAAAAATCAAAACAAAGGAAGACAGAAGTAGCTTTCGGGATAGAATTTGGATTTTTTAGTTTTTGCTGAAATTAAGTGAATTAAACATTGAAACTTGTGTGCAGTGCCTTTATTAAAAACCGATCGATAAAACTAGTGACTAACAGCGTGGGCAGACGTCACACTAGAATTGTAAGTAATTTATACAAGGAACGTGTTCGATGTTGTTGCTTAACATAATTAAATTAACAATCGTAGATACTGATTGTGGAACAAAACATTAAAATAACACTCGTTGCACGAAGGTGAAGAAAAACTATCAATTGTGAGTAGAAAATATTATAAGGAAATCCAGATTAAATGAATAATTAAACAATTTGCAGTTTGAGCTGTATTTAACGCTGCTACAAAAACGGTGGTGCATTTCTTTCAAAAGTATTCCGAACATTCTCAAAAATTGATAATCGGATACGGATAACCTCAAAGATGAGTGTAAATCTTACAATGACCCCTTGCGCTGCCTGCTCAGCAACTTCTGAGACAAATGAAAGGATGATTGCTTGCGATGGCTGCAACGAATGGTTCCACTACCGATGTGTAGGTGTGCAGGAGAGCAACATCCGTGATCAGGAGATGTGGTTTTGCCCGACGGAGAAGTGCCAGAAGGTTGAAGAAGAGCAGGCAAAGCAGCTGGAATATCCAAAGAAGAAAGGTAAATCCTCCAAAAAGACGCTCGTAACGGACGAGAACTCGGACAAGTCTAGCGTCAAGTCCGATCGACAGTCCGGTTCCCTTCTTGAGAAAAAGCTTAAAGAACTAGAGAGGGAGCAAAGAGCGAAGGAGAAAGAGTTGGAGATGGAACGCCTGTTGAGGCAGAAAAGGATGGAGATGGACCGCGTTCTGAAGGAAAAGAGACTCAAAATGGAAAACGAAATGCGGCAACAGGAAATGGAACAAGAAAAGGAATTGCTTGAAAAGGCTCTTAAGGATGAGCAAGCTCATTTAAAACAAATGGAGCAAATGCGTGAAAAGTACCAGGCGAAGATAGCAAGCGTGAAGGGAAAGTTGAATGCTACGACTGATTCCAAAAACCAAAAAAGGAAGCAGGATCCACTGGAAGGACATTCGAAAGGCAACAAGCTAGCACAGGAGAAGAACCAAAGCGGATTAAAGCCGGCAAAGGGTACAAAAAGTGGAAAAACGGAAGCAAGGCCTGTGGATTCGGAAAATGAAGACAGCGAAGAAGAAACTGAGGAAGGAGAATCTGATTCTGGAGATGACGGATCGGATGAAGAAAACGAAGAGGAAAATGAGGAATCCGAAGAAACATACGACGAATCTGAGGAGGAATCAGAGGAAGAAATGAAACCGGAAAAGAAATCGAAGAAAAGGCAAGTAAAGAAGAAAGTAGAGCTACACGGGCTGGGGCAGAAATCTGCTGGACCTACGAAGACGCAACTGGCTGCGCGGAACGGAATCTGCAGGAAACTTCCCATATTCACTGGGAAACCGGAGGAATGGCCTCTGTTCATAGGCAGCTACGAAGCGTCGAACGAAGCATGTGGATACAACGATATCGAAAATCTTGTTCTTCTACAAGAGAGTCTTAAAGGACCAGCATTGGAGAGCGTTCGGGGACAATTGCTGCTACCAAAATCCATACCGAAAGTGATTGACAAACTGCGACAACTCTATGGTCGTCCAGAACAGCTGTTACATTACCACCTAGAGAAGGTGAAGCAGTTGGATCCTCCAAAGCAGTCTTGTAAGCGGTCACGGTAGTCGACACATTTTCTGTGATAATTGACTGCCTTTGCTTCCGACACTTGCAAAATAAGCTATCATAGTACAGTACCAAACTAAAATGTCATATGACAGGCTCTGTCATACGACACTGTCGCCGAAGACCGTCACGTATGTATGTATTTTGGTTTTTCTTATATTAAGAGCTGCTGATGTTTTACTTGTGTGAATTCTAAAAATAGCAAGTAATGATGTCCTAGTAATAATATTTCTGATCAGAAATGGTTTGATTTACGCCAAATTGAGGAATTACAACGAAATCACACATGTCATATGATAGCTATTTTGATAATTTTCTTTTAGCTCGAACGTTATTCTACCGGTCGTGTTGCGTAAGAAAGACGACGGTAGAGCATGAGTGTTCGAATACAAACAGACTGTCGCGCACGACAACGAAGCGAGTGTAGTAAAAAACGTCAACTGTTTCAACCCCTGCTCCAAAGGCCGAGAAGTTGGGAACGTTTATTCCTTTCGGAAATGCAGTAGAGCAACTTTGCGACCACCTTGAAGCGGCGGATCTGGAACAGCATCTCGTGAATCCATTGCTGGTACAGAGTCTGGTGGACAAACTTCCTTCATCCGATAAACGCGAATGGGTGCGCTTCAAAACCAAAAAGAAGAAAGCCACCTTGAGGACGTTTGCTGATTTTCTCTCGAGAATTGTATCGGAAGCATGTGAAGCCAATGCCTGCGTCGAAGTTAAAGGAGAAGCTAAAGACAGTCGTTACGGAAAAGCTGGTAAAGGAGCAGTAAAGGAGAAAGGAGCATTCTATAACCACAGCGTGAGCGAAAGCTCGAGAGAAAGTAATGCAGTTAGCACCACTGTACCCGAGAATCTAAAGCCTTGCAAAGCGTGCAAGCGTACAGATCACCGGCTGCGGTTTTGTCAAGACTTCAAAGCTATGTCGATCGTGGATCGTATGAAGATTGTTGAAAAAGCCAAGCTGTGTAAAATCTGTCTGAATGACCACGGAAATGCAGTTTGTCGATTCAAGATGCGATGTAACGTCGGCGAGTGTTGGGAGCGCCATCATCCTCTGCTGCATCCAACAGTATCATCAATTGTGATGAACACACACATCAATCTTCAAGGGACTGTCCTCTTCCGAATGATTCCAGTGTCGCTACATTGTGGGAATCGGACAGTGAAAACACTAGCTTTCCTGGATGAAGGAGCCTCAATTACGTTGGTGGAGCGATCGCTAACCGACCAACTCGGAGTGAAAGGAATTCTTCAGCCACTCACGATAAAATGGACCGCTGACGTCACTCGAGTTGAAGAAGGCTCAACAAAGATGAATCTGTGGATATCCGCTTCAGGAGACCAGGAAAAGCTGTTTTTGAAATCCGTACAGACTGTGGAACAACTTCTTCTGCCGAAACAATCACTGGACGGCACAGCAATGTCTTCTGTTTACCATTTCCTTCGTGATCTACCGATCTCATCGTATTCCAGTCAAAGACCCGGAATTCTAATCGGTTTGAACAACCTTCACGTTATCGCACCGATGCAAGCAAAAATTGGAGAACAAGGAGAGCCAATCGCTGTAAGGTCTAAACTCGGCTGGTCAGTTTACGGACCTACAGGAGGACAACCGCATAGACAGAATTTCGTAGGGTATCACCATGAAATAACTAACGAAAATCTGCACAACCTGCTGAAGGAACAATACGCGCTGGAGGAGTCGGTGGTTGCTGTGTCACAGGAGTCGAAGGAAGAAATACGAGCTCGAGAGATCCTAGAACGTACTACAGTGCGCGTCGGTGACCGCTTCGAAACCGGAATGCTGTGGAAAACCGACAACCCAAAATTTCCGAACAGTTTTCCCATGGCGGTACGCAGATTAAAACAGTTGGAGCAACGGCTGGAGAAGACACCGGAGTTGTATGAAAACGTGCGAAAGCAGATCGAGGAATACCAGCATAAGGGCTACGCACATCTAGCGACACAAGAAGAATTGGCTGAATTCGATCCGCAGGAGTCATGGTTCCTTCCCATCAACGTAGTTCTGAACCCAAAGAAACCTGCAAAAGTAAGGCTGGTGTGGGACGCAGCGGCAACGGTAAATGGTGTTTCTTTGAATTCCCAGTTGCTCACAGGTCCAGACATGCTCACTCCACTACCGGGTGTTCTCAACCGTTTTCGGGAACGACCCATCGGATTCGGCGGAGATATTCGTGAGATGTATCATCAGCTACTGATACGGGCGGCAGATAAGAAGGCACAGATGTTCGTGTTCCGAGACTCATCACGCGATTCTCCAAGCGTGTACATAATGGATGTAGCGACGTTTGGATCCAAATGCTCACCGTGCCAAGCGCAGTTCGTGAAGAATCAAAATGCCATCGAGTTTTCTACGCAATTTCCAGAAGCAGCAGCAGCGATAATAGAGAAGCACTATGTCGACGACTACTTCGACAGCGTCGATACAATCGAAGAGGCCATCACTAGAGCAACGGATGTGAGATATGTTCACTCGAAGGGAGGTTTTGAGATTAGGAACTGGGTGTCGAACTCCGGAGCGTTTCTCGATGAACTGGGAGAAGTCCGGCAAGACCAGTCGGTACATTTCAATCAGGATAAGGAAAGCGGGACTGAGCGAGTACTTGGCATCATCTGGGATCCAAGGCACGATGAGTTTTCGTTCTCGATGGAGCATCGGCAAGACGTGCGGCCGTATCTGCTCGAATGTCAACGTCCTACAAAGAGAATAGTTCTGAGCTGCGTAATGGGATTTTTCGATCCGTTAGGTTTGCTCACACCATTCACAATCCACGGAAAAATGGTGGTGCAAGATCTGTGGCGAACAGGCTGCGAATGGGATGACGAAGTAGACGACGAGAGTCTTCGTAAGTGGGAACGCTGGACGGGTCTGTTGCCGACGGTGGAAGACATACGTATACCTCGCTGTTACTTCAAAGAGTTTCGCTCAACGTCCATCAACTCTCTGGAGCTGCATGTTTTTACTGATGCAAGCATTCACGCATACGGTTGTGCTGCCTACTTCAGAGCTGTAATCGACGGAGATGTAAGGTGCTCGCTGGTGATGTCACGTTCGAAGGTGGCTCCATTAAAACTACAGTCAGTTCCACGTCTCGAACTGATGGCTGCTGTTCTCGGGGCGATGATGCTGCAAACGGTAAGATTAAACCATTCACTTACCATTTCAAAATTCGTTCTTTGGAGTGATTCGCAAACGGTGCTGAGCTGGATCCGGTCAGATCAGCACAAATACAAGCAATTCGTTGCTTTCCGAATCTGTGAAATATTGGAACTGACGTCTACTAACGATTGGAGGTATGTTCCGTCCGATTTGAATATCGCCGACGTCGTTACGAAATGGGGACAAGGACCACCACTGGAATCAGACGGTCCATGGTTCAATGGTCCACAGTTTCTACATAAGCCAGAGTCAGAGTGGCCCGAGCAGCAGAAAGCGAAGTTCAACGTCTTGGAAGAGATGAAAGCATGCATGCTGTTCCACGACGCATCCAGTCCGGTTATCAACGTCAACGTAATGTCACGGTGGTTGAGGTTGATTCGAATAGCAGCCAACGTAGTTCGGTTCATTGCCAACTGTCGGCGAAAAATAGCTAGGCATCCAATCCTAGTATCGAAGGCGGGACGCAACTTGGAGCGTTCTGTCATAGCGAAACCGGAATCCATCTGGTCGCCGCTGCTTCAAGACGAGCTCCAAGCAGGAGAAATTATGCTTGTGAAACAAGCCCAGCAGGACAGCTTTGAGGAGGAAGTGAAGATATTGGAAACCAGCCGTGGACGCAACCCGGATCAATCGCCGGTACTCGTTGACAAGTCAAGCTGGCTCTACAAGCTGAGTCCGATCATCGATGCCAATGGAATTGTGCGCATGGGTGGAAGATTGGCGCTATCGGAATCGGTTCCTTTCGATACGAAATTTCCGGTAATTCTTCCCAAGCGACAGATCACAAGTATGATCATCCAATATTACCATGAAAAATATGGTCATGCCAACAAGGAGACCGTGTTCAACGAGCTTCGTCAACGCTTCTACATCCCAAAGCTTCGATCAACCATTTCGCTAGTCGTGAAAGACTGCATGTGGTGCAAAGTCAACCAATGTCAGCCACAAGTTCCGGTGATGGCACCACTTCCGGTTCAACGGGTCACGCCGCAGTTGCGCCCCTTCAGCTCGGTCGGAGTTGATTATCTGGGTCCTGTAGAAGTATTGGTCGGTCGTCGAAGAGAGAAGAGATGGGTAGCTCTGTTCACTTGCCTTGCGGTACGAGCCATTCACCTCGAAGTGGTGCATAGTTTGACCACGCAAGCTTGTATGATGGCGATAAGGAGGTTCATCTGCAAGCGAGGTTCGCCGGACGAATTCTTTTCGGACAACGGAGCCAACTTCAAGGGTGCAAGCAATGAGATGTACAAAACGAAGCAGAAGGTCAGTACAGAATGTGCGGAAAGTGTCACAAGTCCAGCAATCAAGTGGCATTTCATCCCTCCCGGAACACCCCACATGGGGGGTAGCTGGGAAAGAATGGTGAGATCTGTTAAGGAAGCTATGAGAGCTTTAGACGACGGCAGAAAGCTAACGGATGAAATACTCTTGACCACGTTGTCGGAGGCGGAGGATATGGTCAATTCACGTCCGTTGACATATCTTCCACAAGAAACTGAAGAAACCGAAGCCATCACACCAAATCATTTTTTGCGCGGGGCTGTCAAGGATGAGGATCAGATTGTCGATGGGGAGGTTGAACTGGCAGATGCTCTGAGGAACGTTTATAAGCGGTCACAGTACCTGGCCGATAGGATGTGGAAGAGGTGGAGCAAGGAGTACCTACCCAGTATCAATCGGAGGACAAAGTGGTACGAAGAGCGAAGACCGTTGCAAGTGGGAGATTTGGTGTTCATAGTAGATGGTGCACAGCGGAAGAATTGGGTCCGCGGAATAGTTGAAGAGGTTGTAGAAGCTGTGGATGGCAAGATCCGGCAAGCCATGGTGAAGACAAATAAAGGCGTATTTCGGAGAGCAGTGGCCAACCTAGCCGTAGTGGAGATTCCCGGTAATTCCGGGACATCCGGCAGAGCGGAACCGGAGTTACGGGCTGGGGTGTAAAGAAAACTGGGAACACGGTTTGGGCCAAATACCGGTCTAGTGTAAAAAATATATAGCTGGTATTGAAACGGATCGAGGAATAGTAAAAATCAAAACAAAGGAAGACAGAAGTAGCTTTCGGGATAGAATTTGGATTTTTTAGTTTTTGCTGAAATTAAGTGAATTAAACATTGAAACTTGTGTGCAGTGCCTTTATTAAAAACCGATCGATAAAACTAGTGACTAACAGCGTGGGCAGACGTCACACTAGAATTGTAAGTAATTTATACAAGGAACGTGTTCGATGTTGTTGCTTAACATAATTAAATTAACAATCGTAGATACTGATTGTGGAACAAAACAGGAAAATAACACTCGTTGCACGAAGGTGAAGAAAAACTATCAATTGTGAGTAGAAAATATTATAAGGAAATCCAGATTCAATGAATAATTAAACAATTTGCAGTTTGAGCTGTATTTAACGCTGCTACAAAAACGGTGGTGCATTTCTTTCAAAAGTATTCCGAACAGAGATAGTGAAAAAAAATTAAAATGAATAGTGAGTTAGTTAAAGTGAAAGCTATGCAATAGTAGTAGAATTAAAAGGTAAATCAATGTAATAAAGTATATAAAAGTATCTTCTATTAGTTCGATCACACAAAATTAGCTTAAAATACCCCTTTGATATTTGCACCTCTCATCAATAATAGTATCCTCAAAACACGGGAAGTGATTCCAGTTGCTCAAACTTCATTATTATACGAGTTGTTATACGAATCCAAGGTGCTGTGAGGGACTTCACCACATCTTGTGGGGCATAATTTGTATAAGAAACTAGCTAACCCGTCGAACTTCGTCCCGCTCAAAATTTGATTTTCGTTTTAAACAATTTTAAGCATTCACGATTCCACCCTAAATATAAATTAATCTATTTGAATGGAATATTCGCGATTGGTTTAGATGATACTACTCTTACTTGAATTATTAATTGCATGGAACACTTTTCGAATTGGATGTAATTCAATAACATGTATTTGCACGGAATGTTAAGCGGCTAATGGAATCATTTATCAGGTCAATTCAATGCTTTATGGTAGGCTACATTCTTCGTTTTGTTATCCGGCGCTCAAATAAACAAAGATGAAGGCTTAATTGGCCATGTGAAAAGCAAGGGTATTCTAGATTGATTCCACACACTTCCAAAGATTGGCCTTGTGATTTATTGATTGTCATGGCGAATGCAAGGTGAACCGGAAATTGAAGGCGTTTGAACTCGAAAGGTAAATTTGTTGAAATCAGTGGAATTCTCGGTATGAGCACTTCCTCGCCTTTGAAGTTACCTTTGTATTGTTGCTTGGATCGCATTATTCTTGAGCTGTTTCACGGCCATTCTTGAGTTATGAACGGTCTTATGTATGCAACTTTGTTTTATATATATTCTTCAAACTTCCGAGAAGTTCTATTTTTCCGGCCGATATACAAATCCTTTGAATTGTTTTCAAACGTAGACGTATATTTAAAAATAGAACTGCTGTATCTCTGTGTTCAGTGATAATTAAGATTACATCTTTAACCTTGGTTATCGTTGTTATGGTTTTGGATAAGATAGCGTTTAGATAAGCTATTTTTGACTTTTATTGCTAGCCAAAGCAAAGCTATTTTCCCAAAGTTTTCATATATAAACTAACCCAGCTTAGATCTTCAGACGTAAGTAAGTACATCTTGATACAACTGAGCAGTGTGAAGTTTGGAGTCATCAGCAAAAATGAAATATTCATTGATTATCACTTCGATTATGGCCACCGTTGCAGCAGTTTATACCGTAAACGTTTCGTTCAGTGATTGGAAACGTGGCGAATTCGAACCGGATGTGTTCATATGGCTTTGTTCGAACTAAATTCAGCAAGGATGCATTTATGGACACATTGAAGAGCACGGGGTCAAGGACGAATTGTACTAAGGCTTGGAATTTTGTTTTTTGCAATATTTGAAACACTATGAGTGGCAAATGGATTGTTTTATGTTCATACCCATGATATTATAAAATATAAGTTTAATTTTAAGCAATAACATAAGTTTAATAAAAATTATCCATACAAACAATCATGATGTGACAAATTTGGCCATTAAGGTGAAATTGACCTAGTGAGTGAATAAAAATTTATAAAATGGTTATCTTTGGGACATCACTTCAGATTGGAAAAAGGTCTCGTCGCTTTGTGCGAAACAATAAAAGGAAAACATCAACGAGAGCTTTTAGCAATCTGAAGTGATGTCTCAGAGAAAAAAAACATTTTTAAATTTTTTACTTACTCACTACACCTTAAGACTATTTAATCATCCAGATTTTTTTAATTAGTAATAATTGACTCACTTCGAAACAATCCGGCCAACACTTGATGCAACAGCAACAAATCTCATCACTGATGGGAACAGTAACATTTCAGGTTTTATCAAGGTTTTAAAATACTCTTCAAGTCCGAATCTTAGTCTACAAGCCTATAATAAAACTAAAATTGTTATTTGGGTAATGTTCTTTGGACCATCTGCTTAAGCACAAGAAACATATATGAAGTTTTCCGGCATGTGGAGAACAACTACTGCAATATGCACTATGGGGATTCAGGTGGTTCGCCCATCAGAAGTAGAATAGTCAACGGAAAACCATCAGAAAATCCGTCCTATAAACCATATAGTGGCCTGTTTTTTTGTAAAAATCGAAAATTATTTTAATCTCACTTTTCTCTAAATAGAATAGGGTGTTTTATCTAATTTCCGTCCTACTAAGCACAACTCGCACTGAACCTCTCTTTTTCGAACGTACATGAACCCAAAAAAGGAGTGATTCTACTATAGCATCAATCCCATGCAAAAAAGCTACACACTTAGAAAAGTTGATGTAAATTTAGGTGCTCTGAGACTGACATATACGAGCGTCAATTTTGACATAAAATTGAGCCATAATAGACGCAAAAATCAGCTCAATCAAATGTATTTTCGAGCTTTTCAGTCTCGGAGCACTTAATTTTACATGACATGTTTGTTTACGTCTCATCCTTTATGTCAAAGATAGATTCCTTCACGTGTAAAATTAGTTATTTCTAAGTGTGTAGATTCGGTCTTAGAATTTCGTAACAATTGGTTTTTTTTTTTCCATATCGAAAAATATTAGACCTGTATCTATTTTTTTTTCACCTATAGGGTAGAGTGGTCCAAAAAGAGCATTTTTCTTAATTATTTTTTTTTTTGTTTTTGTTAATCAAAAGGTCAAATGAAAGATTATTATATCTGGTTTTAAGGGGACGACCCCGGCGTAGAGGTAAGCATCCATACCTCTCACGCCAAAGTCACGAGTTCAAATCTCACTCCCGGAGAAATCACGAATGATCCAAGAGCGTTAAAGTGACTATAATAAATAAATAACAAATAACAAAATAACAACCTGGTTTTAAAGATAAATATGAAAATGAACTTTAATCGTACATTTCTGATAGCACACACGTTATTATTGCTAGATTTGGCGTACATTTACACGATATTTCATGTAAATTTATACGCAATTTAATAAGTTGTTGTACTGGTATGTTGAGAGATTTTCTTTTTATGGCTTCCTCAGTCTATGATAATCCATACGGTCAGTTCGGCATTTCCCGACGTTTCAGCCGTTTATTGTGGTCTTTTTCAAGGGTAAAACAGGCAGGGTAAACTTTTGTACCCTTGAAAAAAAGTTTACCCTGCCTGTTTTATCCTTTGAAAAGGGCAGAACAACGGCCGAAACGTCGGGCAATGCATAACTAACCGTTTGGATTACCTTAGATTGAGAAAGCCATAAAAAAGAAATTTAAGCGCAAAATCGCGTAAATAAGCAAAGATGTATGTAAGCTTGTAAACAATTTCGGTGTTTATGCCAACTATACCTCAAAATTAAAGGAGAAGAGTGTGCCTAGAACTTCATTTTTGAAACCTAGTAGTAGTCACATAGTTGATTGATTGATTGATTTATCTTTATTAAGGAGGCTTTCAGCGTGAGGCTGGTTCGCCTCCAACTAGTCACATAGTCTCTATGAACGAAGTTCCAATTTCCTGGTCAAACCAAATGAAATATCTTGGGTTAGTACTTGACCAAAAATTAACTTTTAAAGATCACATTGAGGGCATTCAAGCCAAATGTAACAAATATACTAAATGTTTGTACCCTCTTATAAACAGGAAATCCAAACTTTACCTGACGAATAAACTTCTAATATTCAAACAAGTTTTTAGACCGGCCATGCTTTACGCTGTGCGAATATGGTCTAGCTGTTGCACTACCAGGAAAAAAGCACTTCAAAGGATTCAGAACAAAGTTGACTCCCTCCCTGGTACAGTACTACCGAAGTACATAGAATTGCGAATGTTGAGGCTTTAGAACAAATGTCTAACAAAGTAATTAATCATTTCAGGCAAAACTCGTTGCAATCCTCAATTGCAATGATTTATTCCCTTTATACTTAGATTCTTATCTTGGGTTTAGTTTTTAGTTTTAAGATGTAAATAGTTATACTGACATGCAGGTTGAAAAAAAAACCTGTTTAAAATACTGAACTGCCAAGGCAGGAACAATGTAAAAGGCTGGTAAGTTACTGTAGTAACTGGAGCACCTAGGTTAAAATGAAACGTCATTTATTTTGAATTTGGAACAAATAAAGAGTTTTAATTATATATAAAGGAGAACAGTGTGGAATTTCAAAGAAGAATCGATTTTCATGATTTCCAAGGTCTTGACTATTTGGCCACAATCCCTTATGGATATCTGTTTGAACAATCATGATACTTTTCTTAAATTTATGATTAAATAAAAGGTTTCCACTTATGGGACAAAAGTTCGCATTTTAATATTTGTTTCAATAACATCTAATTCAATAACAAATCAAGATTTTCCGAACTTCAAATAAACAATTAGTGCACTACTTTCCTTCTCATTAGAACAATACCATTTATTTTTATTTTATTTTCTCAAAATTTAAATTCCAACCCAGACC